TAACTATATTTTCACATTGTATCTGGTTCTGGGAGGATTCTCTGTTTTACCTGTCAAGCTGCCATCTTGAATTCTTGGCCTGCAAGATATATACTTTTAATGAAAGTTCATTTTTAGATTTTTTTCACCACTCCTTGAGATAACTGGAGACATCATAGGGATAGAACTACTAGAAAAAAATCAGATATATTTCTATTTCTGGCTCTGCCATGGTCTTTCTGTGTCATGTTGAATGAGACTTTTCACTCTTCCTGATTCCTTATCAGCAAAATGGAAGTCATAATTGTATTATGCTTCTAATTTATTTTCTAGTGATGCCCCAGAATTCATTGAATTAAAACATGTAAAGTCCATAGTTTGTTGGATTAAATTAAAAATTAAAAACAAAAAGGACAGGCTTATTAGGAACCTTTCTGAAGCTATAAATAAGATTGTTCTTTTAGGGCTCTGTTATCTCATATTTCTCATATTTACCCTTTTAATTATCATACTAGTAGGAGACCTATGTATAATAAATCTATATTAATTTATCAAAAGGCAGCAGATGATACATTTCTGATTCTTATTTTTTAAAGGTATGTAGTGTGAATGTGAATATGTATGTCAGAGAAATAAGTTTGAAAGAGTATTCATTAGAATGTTACCAAGCATCATTTCCAAGATTGTGGGTGATTTAAATATTCCTCTTTTTAAAATGTATTGGGTGCCCAATTTGCCAGCACAAATACTAAAATGGGAATGATACTGAGAATAATAGCATAGCTCTTGCACAAGGACGGCCCCCAAATCCAGGAAATGTTCCATGTTTTTCCCACCAAATTTATCATTCAGAATTGAAGGAAAGATAAAGAGGTTCACAGAAAAATATCTTAAGTATTCATCACAACTTAACCAGCCTTACAAGAAACATTAAACATATTTCTTGAAGAGAAAAAGAAAATACCATAAATAGAATCAAGAAATCTAAGAAAAGGAACAATGTCCATTGTTAAAACAAACCAGGTGAAGAGGTAGTAGATCACTTACTTTAAAGCTAGCATGAAGGTCAAAAAGGCAAAAGCACCAAAAGAAATTACATCTAAAATTAGTTAAAGGAATCACTTAAGGAAAAGGTGTAAAGAAAGATATTATATACATAAAACATGGAGGATGGGAGTAAGAAATGTAGTCTTTCTAGAATCAGCTATTATCATTTATTACAGATTGTTATATTTGTCAGCTTCTTATAAATTGTTATAGTCACAAGATGTCATATAAAACTGCATGGTAATGACAAACCAGAAACATCAAATGGATATCCACACAATAAACAAGAAGGGAACCCAACCATAAAACAAGAGAAGTTACCAAAAGAGGAAGAAAGGATCATAACAGAAGGACAAAAACAACCAGGAAATGTTTAACAGAAGTACAGGAGGTACATACCAAATAATAATTACTTTAAATGCAAATGGCCTAATGCTCCAATCAAAAAACATAGGGTGACTTAATGGATATAATTTTTAAAAACTCATCTTTTTTGCTGCCTATATTTACTTAAGACCTGAAGACACATGCAGAATGAAACCAAGGGATGAAAAAAAAATACACCATGCAAAGAGTGATGAAAAAATATGGAGTTGCAATACTTAAACAAAACATACATGACTGCCCTTGCACTGTTCACCATGTAAGAACTTATTCACTATGTAAGAACTTGTTCATTATGCCTCAGAAGATTGGAGACTGTTGAGAATTGGGCTTGGGGTTGATTAATGATTGTGCATTGAGTCCCCTATACAGAATTTTATTGTTGTTAACAGCCATTTGATCAATAAATATGAGAGATGCCTTCTCAAAAAAAAAAACATACATCAAAACAAAAAAAGTAACAGGTGACAATGAAGAACATTACATAGTGATAAAAGCATCAGTCCAACAAGAGAAAGTAAAAATCACAACCATCTATGCATCCAACATAGGAGCACCTAAATATATAAACCAAATACTAACAGACTGAAAGGGATAAATAACAACACAAAAATAGGGGACAGTAATATCCCACTTATAAATAGATAAATCATCCAGACAGAAAATAAAAGGCAATAGGTATTGAATGACACATTAGGTGAAATGGACTTAACAGATACATGCATAACATTCTACTCAAAAGCAGGTGAATACACATTTTCCTCAAGTGCACATGGAACATTCTCCAAAATTGGTTATGTATTAGGAAACAAAATAAGTCTCAACAAATTTAAGAGAATTGAAATTTAATCAAGCATCTTTTCATACAATGATGTGAAACTAGAAAAAAATTACAAGGAAAACTGAAAAAAATAACACATGGAGGCTAAACAGCATGATTCTAAATAATCAATGGATCAAGAAACAGATCAAAGAGGAAATCAAACAATACACAGAGACAAAACAAACAAACTGCTTAAAATATGCAGAATGCAGCAAAAGCAATTTTGAGATGGAATATTTCAGTAATATAGGCCTACCTCAAGAAAGAACAGTCTCAAATAAACAATCTAGCACTACAACTAAAATAATAGAGAAAGTGCAAAGAAAGCCCAAATTTAGTAGGCAGATGGATATAATAAAGATCAGAGCAGAAAAACAGAGACTAAGAAAACAATAGAAAAAAATGAATGAAATCAAGAGCTGGCTCTTTGAGAAGATAATGAAAATAGGTAAACTGTTAGTCAGGCTTATCAACAAAAAATCAGAGAGGACACAGATACACAAAATCAGAAATGAAGAAATAATCATTGACACAAAAATAAAAAGAATTATAAATCAATTAAAAATTGTATGCCAACAAATTGGACAACCTAGAAGAAATGGACACATTCCTAGAAAACTACAACCTTCCAAGACTGACTGAGGAAGAGACAGATAATCTAAATAAAACCATTACCAGCAATGAAACTGAATTGGTTATCAAGAAACTCCCAACAAACAAAAGTCCAGTATTAGATGGATTCAAAGCTGAATTCTGCCAAACATTTAATAAGAGCTATTACCTGTTCTTAGAGTATTGCAAAAAGTAGAAGAAAAGAAAATACCTCCAAATTCATTCCATGAGGTGAGAATCACTCTAATACCAAAACCAAAAACACTACCAAAAAAAATACAGAACCATGGTGAACATAAATGTAGAAAACCTTAACAAAATGTAAGCAAGCTGAATTCAAAAATACATCAGAAGGATTACCCATCATGACCAAGTGGGATTTATTCCAGGGATGCAAGGATGGTACAATATTCATAAACCAATCAAGGTGATAGACCACATTAACAAAATGAAGGATAAAAACCATATGATCATCACAACAGATGCTGAAAAGCATTTAGTCAAATTCAACATCCATTCATGATAAAATCTCTCAACAAAATGGGTGTTGAGGGAAAACAACATAATTTAAATATCATATACACAAGCCCACAGCTTAAATAATACTCAATGGTGAAAAGCTGAAAGCTTTTCCTCTAAGATCAGGAACAAGACAGGGTTGTTCACTCTCACCACTTTTATTCAACATTGTACAGGAAGTCCTTGCCATGGCAATCAGACAACACAAAGAAATAAAGGCATGCAAATTGGTTACAAAGAAGTTAAACTGTCACTATTTGCAGATGACATGATATTATGCAAAAACCCTAAAGACTCCACCCAAAAACTATTAGAATTAACTGAATTGAGCAAAGTTTCGAGATACAAAATTAATACACATAAACATGTTGTGTTCCTATATACTAACAACAAACTAGCAGAAAGAGAAATAAGGGAAATGATTCCATTTACAGTTGCCTCAAAAAGAATAAAATACCTAGAAATAGACCTAACCAAGTAAGTGAATGAACTTTATTCTGAAAATCATGAGATACTCATGAGAGAAATTAACAAAAACCCAGTAAGTGGAAGTCTATCCTGTGCTCATGAATAGGAAAAATTAATATTGTCATAATGCCCAGCCTGCCCAAAGCAATTTACAGATTCAATGCAGTCCCTATCAAAATACCAATGGCATTTTTCAATGAACTGGATCAAAAAATCCTAAAATTTATATGGAACCACAAAATACCCCAGTGGCCAAAGTAATTTTGACAGAGAAGAACAAAGCTTGGGGTATGATGATCCCTGATTTCAAGCTGTGCTACAAAGATACAGTAATCAAAACAGTAGGTCCTGGCACAAGAACAGACCCATAGATCAATGGAACAGAATAGAAATCCCAGAAATAAATCCATACAGATACAGTCAATTAATATATGACAAAGGAGCCATGAATATACAATCGAGATAAGACAGTATCTTCAACAAATGGTGTTGGGGAAACTGAACAGGGACATGTGAAAACTGTAAATAGATCACTCTATTACACCATAGACAAAAGTAAACTAAATGGATTAAAGGCCTAAATGTAAGACATGAAACCATAAATTCTTAGAAGAGAACATTAGCAAGAATTTCATGAACATCAGAATGAGAAATTTCTGGATACATCTCCCCAAGAAAGGAAAACAAAAGCAAAAATAAATAAATGGGACTACACCAAGCTAAAAAGCTTATGTACCACATAGGAAAATCTCAACAAGCAAAATAGCACTTTACCATATAGAATAATATATTTGCAAATTATATATACAGTAAGGGTGTAATATCCAAAATGCATAAACAACTCATTAAATTCAATGATTAAATGAGAAAAATAATGAAAATAAAATTTATTAGTATTTTGTACAATTATGTTTTGTGTGACTAAAACCATTTACAATAAATATTACTTGCTATCAATTAAAATATTTACTTATTTCTCTAGCACACTTTAATGTTATAGAAATAAATACCATGAAAATGCCCATTTCAGAGTGGATCAACATAAAATTGTGAAATTAATTTATCTACTGTTATGTGTTAAAAATTATCCAGCACATCTCACCTTAATTATCTTCTCTATAATATTCTTCCCTTTGGTTATTCTAATTCTTTTAAATGTGTTTTACAGCTACAAGACCGCACTCAGTTCAGTGACCGAGACTTGGCTACCCTTAAGAAGTACTGGGACAATGGCATGACCAGCCTTGGCTCGGTCTGTAGAGAGAAAATTGAAGCAGTTGCAACTGAACTAAATGTTGACTGTGAAATAGTTCGGGTAAGATAATTTCAATAATTTTTTTTTCTGTTGTTGATGAGTATCAAAAATGAGAGCTTTAAAAAGTATATAAGGTGCTGTAAACAAAAGCACTAATAAAGTGAAAAAGATAACCCATAGAATGGGAGGAAACACATTCAAGGAACTTATATTGAGTATGTAATGAACTCATATCTCCATAATAAAAAGGCAAATAATGCAAATGAAACATGGATAAATGACTTGAGTAGACATTTTTCCAAAAAAGATACACAAATGACCAATAAACACACAAAAATATTTTCAACATCATTTTTCATATATAAATCAAAACCACGATGAAATGCCACTTAATACCCACTATGATGGCTATAATAAAGACAGATGACAGCAAGTGTTGGCCAGGATATGGAGAAATTGGAACCATTGTATATTTCTGGTGAATATGTAAAATGTTTTAGCCCCTTTGGAAAACAGTCCTCACAGTTTAACAGTTATCATGTAACCCAGCAGTTACACTGTTAGGTATATACCCAAAAAAAATGAAATGCATGTCCACTCAAAAACATACATGGAAGTGTCCATCAGTAGATGAATGGATAAAGATGTGGTACATATTCACAATGGAATATTATTCAGTGATGAAAGAAAAAGAAATTCTCCTATTTGCAACAACATGGATGGATCTAGAAGGTATTATTCTAAGTGAAATAAGCCAGGTGGAGCAAGACAAATACCAAATGATTTCACTTATTTGTGAAGTAATGAAACAAAGCAAAATAGAAGGAACAAAATAGCAGTAGACACTAAGAAGGACTAGTGGTTATCAAAGGGGAGGAGTTGGGGATGGAGGAAGGGGAGGGGAAGAGGATCGAAGGACACAATAATTCTCAATCACAATATAGATTGCTTACAGGGACAGCACAGAGTAGTACAACATAGAGAATAGAGTTAATCGTTCTGTAACATCTTACTACATTGATAGGGACCACACTAGAAGGGGTGGGTATTTAATAGTATGGGTAACTGTTGAACCACTCTGTTCTACATTTGAAACCAATATAAGATTGTATAACAATGATACTTTAATAAAAGAAACATGAATTCAGAGAAAAATAAAGTGAAATGAAAAATGTCTTAAACGGAAAAATGTAAAAAAATAAAATAGAAAATCTATGACTTAAAAAAAATGCATGGTTCTTCATAACAGCATTATTATTCACAGTAGCCAAAAAGTGGGGAAAATACAAATGTCTATCAAGTGAATGGATAAACAAAATATTATATGTGCATATAATACAAAGTTATAGAATCATAAAAAGAAATGAAATATTGAAACATGCTAAAATATAGATGAATCTTGAAAACGTTATGCTAAGTGAATGAAGCCATTCACAAAATGCCACATATCTAAAGATTCCATTACTATGAAAAGTCCAGAATAAGAACATCTATAGAGACGGAAAGCAGATTAGTATCTGCCAGGGGATTGGGGTGGGGTAAGAAGGAATGGGGAGTGAGTGCTAGTGGGTATAGAGTTTCTTTTTGGCATAATGAAAATGATCTGAAATTAGCTATTGGTGATTGTTGCACAACTCTGTGAATATGTTAAAAACCTTTTAGTTATATACATTAAATAACACAATGAATTTTATAGTATGTTAAATATATCCCAGTAGCACTGCTTTAAAAATTGCATGAAGTGATATGAAATGCATCTCACAAACAACGTAATGAATGACATTGAAAAATTATATTAATCAGTCATGGAAACAGTACTTTATCTTCCATTTATAAGACACATAAAATATTTACATAGTGCCAATGGTGTATTGGAAAACCAACTCTCTAAGAGAAAAAAGCCCTCTGATTAATAGCAATTTTTTTCCATGGTATAAAGATTCCCACAATTGCTGATTTCATGACTCATTCAACATGGAGTTCAGAAGATACACTAACAGCAGTTGGCTCTTGTAAGCAAATATGAATAGATTTCAACTCATACTGGACATTCATTCCAAAAGATAAAAAGGAAGTATGATTAAAGACCAAATGAAAAAACACAGAACTCTTTTATAGGAAGAAATAAAGCTATTTTTCATACATAAGTGAAGAAAGAGTAGAAATATAAGGAGATGTCATACAGTACATATTTCTCAAAATGCTTTCCCATTCAGAGCATTGCTTTTTATTTTGTTAGTATCTAGATGGAAAATTAAATTAAAAGCTGAATTTACTGAGTATGCTACGTGTTATATACAATAACAAGGAAACAGAATACATAGACACTTTTGCTGTTTTTAAGGAGTTTAGAGTCGAACAAGAGGGATGACACAGAATAAAAATGATGAGGAATTGGGAGTGGGATCATGGTGTGAGGAGCCTAAGCAAAAGCCAGGAATAGAGAAACTCAGAGCATCTGTTTTTGTTGTCACTGTCATTTAAATTTTTAAAAAATCAGTTATATATGCATATTGCTAAAGTTGGCAAGTTCTATAGGACTTGGTACAAAACCAATATTCCTCACTCCTCCCTTCCTATCATTTCCCCATAGCCAGTGTAAACTGCTCTCCACTCTTTTAGATGATATTTTGTATCTGCCTTTGGTATTTACCTCTGTCTATGAAATATGCTATATTAGTTAGAATTAGGTTCAGCTTTGAGTAACAGAAAGATTCAAATAACAGCGACTTAGACATGACATTTGAATTCCATGTACAAGTCCAGGGTTATAAAATTTAGAGTCAGGATGACCATTCTTACCTGTGAATTTCTCAAAGACTCTAGTGTCTTTTACCTTCAGTCATACCAACTTTATGATGTAGCCCTTGTCCTCTAAGTCTAAAATTATGGCATTTATGATTCAGGCAGGATGACAGAAGGGGCAAAGAGTGTGTACCAGCTATCTTTTAAATGGGATTCCAAAAACTCCCACAAGACACATTCACTTATATCTCATTGGCTGAAGATTAGTCATGTGGCCATCCCCTACTGCAAGGATAGTGGCAAATGTAGTTATATTGTTGGCAGCTATGTGCCCAGTTAAATTTTCCATTATTCTGAAAGAGGAAGAAGAGAGATACTGGAAAACTCCTACCAGTCTCTCTCATATTGTGTAAGCTGCTGCTTCTTGATATTACAGTGCTAAGAATCGTTGATTGATTTTCCACTATAAAATGTGAAGCATTTAAAAAAATTTCTTTCAAGAGCTCTTCATTGACCCTTTCACCTACATGCATACTTCTCTTCTTATCTTCCCAGTATGGTTATTTCATAATTTTGCTTAGTCTCATATTCGACATTAATATTATCATGACTATGTAAGTGCTTTGTGCATTTGAATTATGTAATATATTTACCCTTTTCTGCATAACATTGTTTTCCCTTAGAGTTCATTTACTTAATTTTTGTTTTTTTTTATGTTTGCTCGCTTAATTTTCTTTGTACGACTTTATCCTCAAACGCTTACCCAGTTGTATAAATCTCCTCTCAATACATTCATACACATTTGGTAGTGTAACAGTTTTATAATCTTAAAGGAATTTTTTTCCTGGAATCATTTGATCTGTTCCAATCTAAACTTTACCTCAGGATGTCCCATTAACCATTACTTGTGTTATAACTTAGAAACTTTCATTTATATTTCCTTATTATATCTGGATTCACTGTACTCCTGGAGCACAAGTGTTACCCTGAGACTTCCACTTTCAGCCTGTTTGTCCTTTTGCTATACTTTCAGTAAGATATCCTCAAATTTATCTTCCAACTTTTCTAGGGATTTTTAAATTTTTTTAAAATTCAGTCTGCCATTGATACAGAAAACAATATGCAACATGACAGCAGTCTTCAGTCTCCATGAACTACCTTAGTGGTTCCTTGAGACCCCAGAGTTCAGGAGAGAAGATACAGGACAGAGTATTCCTCAAAACAAAGCTGGTGCCCCACACCAGGCACCTTAGCCCCTTGAATTTGCACCAGAAAGGCAAGCCCTCAGAACATCTGGTTTGAAAAACCAATGAGGCTGATGTCCAGTGTCTCCAAAGAGCTCTAGGAAACTAAAAGTACCTTCTTGGAGGTCTCATTCATCCCAAGACCCATCAAACAAACAGTAGTTTGAAAATCACCTAGATTACAAGTGAGGTAGATTCATTTTCTGATCTAGGGCCATCAGCTGAAGGAGCATGGGACAATTGAGACAATCTCCAGAAATAAAGGTGCTGATGGATGCCATCATTGCAGTCTCCACACAGCCTGATAGTATAGGTAGGAGAGCTCAAACATGGTTTCCTGCTTCCACCTTGTTAAGCAAGGTAAGAGTGAGCAGTCACAGCACCCAATGAGACTAGAGAGTGCAAGAGGCTACAGCATGCCCCTTGTCCTTGGTTGTGGCAGGCAAGTATGAATGGTCATGCAGTTCTCTTGCCTCCAAGCTAAAGTCTGCAAGTACAGGTGGTTTCAACACACACCACTTGACTGGGGCTGACTAACAGCAACAATTAAGGCATCATCTATTTCAAGTCAAAACTGGCATGCATGCTGAACAAAGTTCTGTCTTGCTGCATTGGTGTGCACAGCCAAGATATTTTCCCACTTCCTTCTTGTAGCCAGCATGTGTTTCCCATCCATTATATACTCCAGATGTATTGCTAAAGCCACTGAGCACATGCAATCCATACAGGCAACACACTTTATCCCCTGACCTGGATGGCAAAGTGGGGTGGCATTCCAGAGCTCCACAGTACTACAACAATTGGAAATTGAGCTCCTGGCAGACCACAACATCCAGAGCACTACACAGCCAGCAGACTGAAACATGAGCCCAGTCTTCCTTCAAGGCCTACTTATTTAGGACTTTATCTTCAGCCAGGCGGACTGGCTTCCAGTTTCCACCAAATCTAGAAGCTAAGGATGTGCACCCAGAGAACATAAGTAGGGAGAGACCATCCTTGTCCACCTTATTGGCCTCACTTAAGCTTAATGAGTCTTCCAAGAAAGGACCTTATACACTTATCTAGAACTAT